CAGGAGAGAGGTGATGTGAAGATCCGGATCACGACATGGGGGGTTCCCTTCGGGAGGCTCGGTGCATCATCTACTTGGTGGATTCGGAGGACAAACCGAAGCTGAAGGAGGGCCAAGCAGCCAAAAGAAAAAACCCGTGCTCGTACATGATGCTACGCACCACGCTTCTTATTATATAACTATAACCGAACAAAGCCAGTGCTCCAGTGCTCGTACTGTACATGATGCTACGCACCACACAGCTTTCTTTTTGCAGTGCCAAGCATGCTTTTGGAATGCAAAGTGTTGAGTGAGCAGAGAACTCAAAAGAACTTGCCAAGACTCTGCGGAGGATGTGGCGGAGCATTTCTACGAGCTCTTGACACACCCTGTCCTGACCCTGGCTGGACCTGTGTTTCGAACGGCAGAAAGTGGACCAAATGCTGAGGACATGCTGGAGTTGCACACTCCAATCCTGATAGCTTGCAACAAGAGTGACCTTGGCTCAGCTCGATCCGAAAAGTTCATTGCCAGGAGCTTAGCCAAGCCGCTTCATGTTTGTTACATGAATCGCTTGGACATACTACTACAGTAGTTGTTTCGTTTGGTCAAGTTCTCCTAAACTAAGTGTGGGGGCCATGTCCCACACTTGAAGGTCCCAGTACCTTCAAGTCAATTTTCGCACCAGCACAGGAGGCCCCACAGTAAAGCAAACACAGCGATCACAAGCAACACGCTAAATGCTCTCACATTCTTAATTAGCCAAGATAGTCAAACACAAAGATCTTATGAATATGCAATTGACCATTGCTCATAGCAGTGTTCCAATGTTCCACATGGTTTAAGCCACGTTTGAGACTCCATTTGCTTTCACTTGACTTACTGTAATGAATGGAACGCGACATCAATTAACCTTGGTAAGGGTCACATGCAAAGATATGCAAAGTATGGGTTTTAGTAGGCACCTTGATATGAAGCGGATATCACATTAATATGAAGGATGTCGACCAATTGGAATTACTGGCACTGGGCAGTCATGAATTCAACTTATTAATGAAGATTTCATACGATTTCAGACGAGTGCATTGGAATAGCCGAACCATGGTGGTGGAGTGTTGGCTGATTGGTTTTAAAACCGCTGGTGCCATAGATCTTTGTCCGGAGGTGGAAGAAATCGAGCGGGAAATCGAGCAGATGCGTGTGTCGCGGGGGGCCACGCTGGAAGGACAAGATCAAGCAGACAGCTCCTTGGAGTGTGAAGGAAGGGCCCATTGTTGTGCAGGTGCGCCTCCAGTCTTTTGCTTGTTCTAAAGTAAATATGTCTAATATGAGTATGTACGTAACGGTATGTATATATATATATATAGATATATAGACATTATTGATGCAACTGTTTTATAAGAAGGGATTGCTCAGCCAGCTTGAATCTTGATTGAGGTGAGTTTTGTGAGTCATACGGCATACGGGTATGTAGCTGTGGTGCTCATGGCAGCCTTTTGGAATGATGATAGATGACGGTAGATAGGAAATGGCTGGTGATGTTGAACCGCAGAGCTATTGGTTGGACTACTCCAAAGTGTTCCAGAGCAGTTGATTCTTTGCAAGTGTTCCTCGTCTCAATTCCAGGCTATTTGGGCATTGACGGTGAGAAGTTCAAGCTGATGGACCTTGAGTCTCCAAAGCATTGCCAACAATGAATGTTCGACAACAGAGCCAGATAAGCCTGTTGAGCACAGAAGTTGGGACGAGTGGGGTGATAATTCGAGATCAGTTGACAAGTTGACATCCGGAAAACTGCCAAGCCTAAGGCCTAGCTACAAAAGATGCCTATATATGATATGTTTCGCAAGGTAGAAAAGGCATTAAGCCACCTTGTTTCACTGCAGAGGAGCACTCGCCATGCCCAATCCAGACCTGCAAGATCTCTGCGAAGAAGAATGAGATGCAACCGTTGATGCTTGGCCCACTTGAGCCCTTCCGGACGGGCTGAGGGTGACGGGTGACGGGTGAATTCGAGGAGGAGGGTGGAGTAACCGTTCTGGGGTCCAGGTTTGGGGTCCATGCGCAAAGCATTAGGAGAGTCCAGAGAGTCGTTTAGTTCTGATCACAGCTTTAAGGCACAGGAGAAGCATGGCGAAGCTTATCGATCAGAATCATTCAGCCGAGGTACGATTTCTTGATGGAGCAGTACGCTTGAGAGACCCGATGATGAGAGCTGGCGTTTAGCTTCCGCTGTGAAGGTGAGCAATTGGTAAATGGTGATTCTCTCTCTCTCTCTCTCTCTCGGGTGATGTCATGAGAGAGAATACGGGCACCAAAGATGTGCCGATTCGGAAAGCTTCGCGGATTCGCCTGCCAAGCTTTGACTTCGGCCGAAGCTCGCGAGGGGAGTATCTTCCAGCCGGAACGGCTGGGGAAATGAAACTTCGCCTTGCGATTGGTCCTAAAGTCCGTGCGAAGTGCGAAGAGCAGGGGAGAACTGCACACTTGTAGCAGCAGCACGACACCAATCTTCGGAATCGACGTCCAGGTGTCTGCGCGCCAAGTCCAGGTTCAGGACCTGAGAGAGCGAAATCAGCCCGAGCCGAGAGCGAACACCACCAAACCCCCAGACCTACTGTAGCCGTGGCACATCGATCCGCTCTCCGCTCGAGCGGCCGCGCCGCCGAACGGCGACGGGTGCGACCGGGCCCGAGGACCTGGAGCTGGAGCTCGCGCAGATGAAGGATGCATATGCCTCGCCCGAACCCCTGAGCATGGGCTGAGAGTGATGGATCAGGTATGAAGAACCGCCTAGTGACTCTGACCTTAATTCATCTTAATTAAATTATTAATATGTTATAGCGGGGTACTTTGGATCAAGATGGATGAAGCCAGGAGAATCAAGACATCTCCAAGCTTAATTCTGTACCTGACGGTTCCTGTAGAGGCTGTATGAGCCTGTCCATCTGCCAACCCAAGCCTCCCCATCCTCCCAGGTTGGAGACCCAGCACCACTTGGAGATCCAGGAATTGACCTCTCAGATGGAGGAGGCCCAATCGCTCCCTTCACGAACTTTGCATGGGATGCAACGACCAAGCCAAGGCCAACACAAAAGCTGGACGAGCCATGTTGAAGGAGACAGAAGCGGCCCTAGGCCCAAGAGTGAGGATGTTGCAGAGATTTCCGAAATTTTGGGGTCCAAATTGAAGGCGCCTCATGTGCTCGAGGGAACTTCCATGCGGCCCACCCCTCCAAAAAGAACCCGTCTGAAGTTCGCTGAGGCGCAAGACTTGGAGGAGCAACAGACTGAAGTGACACGTCGGGAGCGACAGAGTGCTACGTTGGACTTGTCGTTGTGTCTAAACCTGTAAACAGACCAAGAAGACTTTGTACATTTTGGAATAAACAGTCTGAGCTGCATGGGCTCGATAGAGCTGCTCTCCAGCTTTGCCTGAGCCAAATGATGACCTGGTTGCTGTGTGCCCAGCCCTCTCACCAGCACCAGCACCACCCCCCAGCCCACGATGTTTCTATGCTAACTGGTTGGCGCCTGAATGGCCTTGTTTTGGGCAACCTGGAGCACTCAGCAACCAGCCCAAACCTTCATTCAGTGCACCACCTCCTCAACGATGGATGCAAGCCAAAACAAACTGTACACAATACTTCGAACTGTTCAACCAATGCACTCACCAATGGTTGTCCAACTGTGAAGCAAAATGCCCTCCTATCCTAGCCTTAGACCTTTGCGAAGAGTCAGAAGGCATCACCAGGCTCTCAGATCCGAGACTGGACTTCTGGACTGAGAATGGTCTGACTTTTGCATCAGCATCTTGGAAAAGCGTCTTCACTTCATCCTTCTGAAGTCCGACACAGGTGAAGACTGAGACTGCATGTGCTCGGAAAACTCCCGGTCGCCAAAGTGTCATAATACTTGGTGACACGTGCCACATGCAACCGTGGCACATCATGTTGTTGCGAAAACTCTCAGCTGCAAGTGTTCCACGGATTCCTCTTTCTCCCTTGTTTTAGCACTGTGCCGAATGCATGAAACCATTTTAAAATAAATTATGACCCATTGGTAGAATTGAATTTGTGTCCTTCCTCACTCACAATGGAGCATTCTGGTCATTCTGCTCCATGGGCTTGCTATGCTCTCCCAGTGTACAAGCCTGCCTTTAGCATCGCAAGCCATTGCACTCTGAAGCCTTTTCAAGAACTCAACAGGTTCTTGAGAGTTTGTTTCGATTTGAACGCCTGGCCGACAAGTGGATTCGACCTGCGACTGGAGCGGTTCGAAGTGTCCTTTAAAAAATTCAAGGCAACTGAAGCACCCGGAGCTCAACGCAAGGATTCGTTCGAGCTGCAATTGGAATCGGCCAAGACCGGGTATACATTGGGTATTTACCCCATATTCCTCCCCCTTGAGCTAGACTTAGACTCTAGGGAAACGATGGGAGTTTCTGGATGTCGGTGCCTTTGCGTCCTTCGTTTGGATCACTCGCTATGCCGCTATGGATTATTCACCTGAGGGCACATAAGCAGCAGCAGATAAGGCTGAAAGCAATTTGGCGTGTAAAGAGGAGAAATGGAGTCTTTCTGGCTTTTGCCGCCCTGTTGTGCATGTGAACCATGGAGAGCTTGCGCAGCCGCAAGTGTGTCTAATTGAGGCTTGCTGGCGGTTGAATCAACCTTGAAGGCAGCTCTGGAGGGCATGGGCCACAGATTGAAATCCATCTTAAACTTTAAACATCTTCATGGCTCATGGGCCTATGATGTCTTCTGCTGTCACGCCCACTTGCCATTCAATGTAGACGCCTTGCCGGCAGCCGTGTGGCTCACATCTGGTGTAACTTGTGCCTGCTTTTTAAGAGTGGGGGATCTTGCTCAAGATGTCTTCCACCTGACATGTTGAGAAGCCCACGATGCACAAATCAAGACGGCTTTAGTGCTTATAGACCCATAGACTTCAAGTCGTACTTCAAATCTAATCAACGTCAAGGCCAGTTAGGGCCAGGTTTGGTGCCTGGAGGATGGCGCAATGCCGCAGGTTTGGCGCTCTAGACCACAAGTCAAGGGCAAAGGCAAAGGAGGCGGGCTTTGCTCTGGGGGATCAGGCGACGTTCTCCGACGTTTGCCACTGTTCATTGCAAAGGTACAGAAACAGTATCAAACAGTCAAGATTATTTGAGGTGCAAACAGATAAATGCCTACTTTGCAGGTAGCTGAGCATGTGGGTGTAGCATTCTTTTTTGGAAAGGCCGTACTGCGAAGGACAACTCCCGCGCGCAGGCACGTGTGCGAGCGTGTTGATTCGCTGTAGCAGGAGCACTGATTTGGTGTTTGTATGCTTTGTAAGTTTCTTCTCAGTATTTTGTTAATATTTTGCCGAAGTCTATTTTATAAGTCTTCTCCACCGGCTGGCCACTGCAAGCACAGGTGTTGCAGGGCATTTTGATGTCAATATTGACCACTGTAGACTCTTACGTAATCCAAATTGGAGGGGTTTTATAATCAAGAGTCTGCATTACGGAGTAGAGAACAGATGATCCTCGGCCAGGCCCTCACCAAGGAAATTGCAAATCTTGCGAGGGAGAAGCAGCTGAAAAAGGCCGTGGAGTTGTTTAAACAGTTCGAGCAACTTGGATGAACCATGATGAACCTCGATTTGCTAGGTTTGACGGGCTGTCACTGTTCCTGAATCCCCCCAAATCTGTCTATCCAGGGCTGAGGTGGTTTACCCGCACCAGTTGGCACCAGCCCGACCAACCAGGCAGGAAGGTCTAGAGCCCAGCGTTTACACTTTCTCGAGCCTCATCAACGTGCACGTTCGCAGTGGCGACTTGCGTGGGGCCTTGCGGGTTCTGAAGTCCATGCGCAAGAAGGGTGTGCGACCGAACGTCAGCAACTCAGCAGCGCTCTAAATTCATGTCCTTTCACTGGGGTATATACACATGTATGGTTTGGGAACACAAGCCGCTTTGATGTTCGTAGGATTGCTGCAAGATTTGACACTTGCCGTAACGATTGCAGAAAAAGCGCACGATAAGGATGCGGTGAGTCGCTTTTGCTTTCCTTGTGCTGCTGCAACTAACTCGTAGCACATCCAAACCAAGTCTGTCGTAAGCATACCGCAGGACAAACCAGTGCACACATGGTCGCTGTTTGCCAACCTCACAGCTTTTCGAATTCAAGGGTGCGGGGCAACCCAAGTGCACTGCCGTCGGATCTTAGAGTCCAAGCTGTGCAGGCATTTTCACGATCCTCCTCAGAGGCTATAGCCTGGCAGGCCAGTTGGATCGGGCACATGGCTTGCTGGATGAGATGGTGGCTGAGGGTATCAGTCCAGATGCCAGGGCCATCAATACCTTCTTCCGAGGCAGGGGGTGATTTAACAATCCTTCTTGATCCTTCTTGTGGGTTGTTTGTGCCGAGGGCAGGGGTGACAGACACATGAGTCATGCATTCTGTCAGACAGAGACAGATTGGACGGAGGGGACGAGCGTGTGTTCAGCTAATGTTCAGCTATTCCTTGGGTTTCGAGGTACGTGTCCTCGTATTTGGAGTCCCTCATTTCAGTCGTCCTTACTTCGTTAAAAGGGCTGTCAGCATGTGGCATGGAAGAGCATCAAGCAAAGAGCTATATAACATGACGTGCCCAAGATGTGCGCCACCGTGTGCACACTGCACATTGCATTGGCTGCCTCAAAGGCGCCTCGGGCATCGGCTGCAGGCTGTTTACATCGCGGACACGTACCCTTGGCTCGGGAAGTCTTTGAAAAGATGAAGAGCTGGCAGATTGTGCCGGATGATACCAGCCTCCGATTGATGGCCCAGCTGCTGAGCCAAGGGCTATGCTTCAAGGAGCTGAAGAGCTTGGCGCACCTCGACGAAACAGATGGAAAGCCTGAAATTCGGCACGCGTAAGAAGCAGCGACTAGGAACAAGGGCATCGCTACTAGGAGCAAGGACGCTACTAGTAGCTCCTGGCCTTACTACGTTACTAGGAACAAGAAGCTACTAGGGGGGGGATTTCGGCTCCCCCCCGCGGATCTGGGCCTCCAGACCCAGGCTTCCGCGGTTCCGGTTCGGTGTGAATGATGTTGAAAACTGCACACTGAAAGGAAGCTCCCAGAAGCTGCCAACTCGTGGGAGCCAGCGCCGGCTAAGCAGAAGAAAGATGCGTGTATCTTCTGGGCAGCTGGAAAGTGTAGCAAGGCACGCACAAGGGCTGTCAGATCAGAGTGTGGAAAGTATCCCAACAACAGCTCTTCAATTGAAGCATCATTCAGAGAAACTTGGATACACATTCTGGGTTTCATTAGAGGCATCCTTACCTCTTGAAGAGGGTCTAATGAGATGGACCAAGCTTTTGGCTTGCCTTGTTTTGCGCAGGGTGTGAACTGCAAATTCTTCCACGATCCAACCATAGTGCCGGAGAACGAGGACATCAGTTTGAATCAACGGCCATCATTTAGATCCCTGCAGCACAGTTGAAGCAAAATGGCGACCTTCTGCTGACATTTCTTGACATCCGTGACTCAGGAGTCCCGCCAACAGGAGAGGAACGCCTCACTTGCAAGCATGAACCTATCGCTGGCGCACTGTGCCGCGATGCTTTCTCGCTGGCAGACTTGCACACGTGCACTGCAGCGTGCTGAGGAAGGGTGATGTAGATCACTGGGATCTGGGTACGAAAAGAAGTGAACAATGCACTCCTTGGACCATTTTCCATCATTTTCATTGCGTTGGCAGAAGCGGGTTGTGACTTTTGCGCGAAGACATGAAGACACGCGAAGACACGAAGACACGAAGATACAAAGACACGAAAATACGCGAAGGCACGAAGACACGCGAAGACACGAAGACACGAAGATACGCGAAGACATGCGAGGACACGAAGAGGCTTCAGGTCTTCAAGGCTTCAGGTCGTCACTAGGCTTCAGGTCTTCAAGGCTTCAGGTCGTCACTAGGCTTCAGGTCTTCAAGGCTTCAGGTTGTAAGCAGGCTTCAGGTCTTCAAGGCTTCAGGTCGTCACTAGGCTTCAGGTCTTCAAGGCTTCAGGTCGTCACCAGGCTTCAGGTCT